TTGGTTCTCAACCTTCCTAATGCCGCGACCCTTTAATAAAGTTCCTCATGTTGTGGTGACCCCCAATCATAACATTATTTTCATTGCTACTTCATAACTGTCATTTTGCTACTGTTATGAATCATCATGTAAATATCTGATACGCAAGATATATTTTCATTCACTGGACTAAATTTGGCACAAATACCCGATATGCCCAAATTTGAATACTGGTAGGGTTTGGGGGAGGTTGATTTGTCATTTAGGAGTTGTAGTTGCTGGAATTTATAGTTTACCTACAATCAAAGAGCATTCTGAAGTCTACCAATGATGGAATTGAACCAAACTTGGCACACAGAATTCCCATGACCAAGAGAAAATACTGGAAGGGTTTGGTGGGGATTGACCTTGAGTTTTGGAGTTGTAGTTCTCCTATATCCTGAGAACACTGTGGACTCAAACAATGATGGATCCGGACCAAACTTGGCACGAATACTCAATATGCCCAAATGTAAATACTGGTGGGGTTTGGGGAAAATAGGCCTTGACATTTGGGAGTTGTAGTTGCTGGGATTTACAGTTCATCTACTATTTCAAAAAGCATTCTGAACCCCACCAACAATAGAATTGGGCCAAACTTCCAACACAGAACCCTCATGACCAACAGAAAATACTGTATCTTCTGATGATCTTTGGCGACCCCTTTGACACCCCTTCTGACTCTCCCCCCAGGTGTCCCAATCCCCAGGTTGAGAAACACTGTTTTAAAGAATGACATAATAAAAATGGAGGAAGCTCATTTCCTGTTGCTGTATAGACTGATCCGGATGAATGTGGGCTGAAGCTGCTTGCAGGTGGCTTCAAATTCTCCCCCAGAATCCAGAACAAACTGTGACTGTTGTATATGACCACAACTGTTTATACAGCCATCATTTATTAATATTTATTTATTTGCTGTATTTGTATATTGCTCCTCTCAACCCCAAAGGGGACTCAGGGCAGTTCACAGTGACTCAGGGCGGTTCATGTGGCCTAAAGATATGGGATGGTATTCACCATCCCCAGCAAGTACCATGTAATTCGAGCCAGTTGCTCAACCCATGGTCAGAGTGGCAAGGAGATTGGAGTGGGGAGAGGAGGAAGCGATTTCTCACATTATTATTATTATTATTATTATTATTATTATTATTATTATCTTTATTTATACCCCGCTAACATCTCCCGAAGGACTCGATGCGGCTTACAAAGGCCAAGGCCCACAATAAAAACAACAGTATAACAAACACAACAATAAAACTCATAAAGCAAACCAATAAACATTAAAGCAATAACAATAAACAATAAAACAACAACATCATGACACTATTAAAACTAGGGGCCGGGCCAGGCCAAATGTAGTGAATAAAATTAAAAGTGCTGGACATGACAGGTGCAATGTAAGGATTTTAGGGTAGGTGTGATCTGCAGACGATCTTAAATAAAGTGCATTTGGGACATGATGCTAGGAGTTTCCTAATCTGGAAAGGCACACTGGAACAGCCAGGTCTTCAAGCTCTTCCTAAAGACTGCCAATGTTGGGGCTTGTCTGATGTCCTTAGGGAGACAGTTCCAGAGTTGGGGGGCTACCACAGAGAAGGCCCTGTCTCGTCCCCACCAAACGCGCTTGCAACGCAGGTGGGATAGTGAGCAGGGCCTCTCCAGATGAACGAAGGGATCGTGTGGGTTCATATATGGACCCACATGTCACATGCCCTGAATGCCATGGAAAAGCAAAACCACTTGATGGTTCCAAACCAGGTGAAGCACTTCTAGATGCTGAGGCTCTCTCCCACCTCTGCAGCAACCGGGTAAGTGGTAGTCTAAACTCAACCCGGAGGTAAGTGGCAAGAGCAGACCCATCCTATGATACAGAGTAATTGAGTCAATAGGAAAAGATTCCACCTGAACATTAGAAAGGGACCTCATGGGACATCTACTGGGAGTCCTTCGGTGGTGTTTTCCTGCATTGGGGTTGGCCCTTGAAGTCTCTTCCAACTCCATAATTCTATTGAATCTATGGGACAATCCCTCTCTTCTTTCTGTCCTCTTTTACAGGTTGCTGGTAGAAACCAGCACATGCTGAAGTCTTTCTGCATTTTAGATGGGCAATTATGGGAGATTTAAGGGATGGATAAGCCTCCTAGCATATCTTGGTGGTTTGTAGCTTAAATCCACCCATCTCACTGTGTCTCCCCCATTTCCTCCCAAATGCCCCAAAGGGGCCATTCAGAGCATTTTCTGCATGATTTTTCCAGGGCTCTGGTACTATTTCAGGTCCTGGAGAGTTTACTTCCAATTTTAATCCAAAACACGGTGCAAATGCCCATTGAGGGCACTGGAAGGCAAAACTGGTGTGTGTTATCTTCCCCAGATTAAAAATCCTGAGGCCACAAAAATGACCCTGAGAGACGACATGTAACCCACAGGATGGACTTTGCCCATTCCTGGTCTACATGGTCCCCTGGGTATTAGCTGACAATTTTTGTAGACCTTATTGGGACAGCACTAGAAACAGGCATTACATTAAATGACATACATGTCTGTAACCTATAACTTCCCTCTTAAAATAAAAGTAGATGAATGCATCATGGTGTGAATAGGTTACTAGTGCACATATAAGGATGCAAAAGGAATCCTTTTGGCACAGAACAAAGATTTCTTTAGCGACTGTCTTGCCTCCAACAGTAGCTGGCTTGTGACCTATTTTAAGTGGTGAAACAATTAGAGCTGACAACTTGGTGCACAGAAAAACGATCTCTGAAACGAGGTGGATTTTTCAAAAAAGAAAAACCTTGAAGTGTTATGGGACAAAGCAAAATCTAGTTTGACACCCAAATGGGGAGAGGGGGACACTAGAGATATATATTAAAAGATTGATGCTTGTTTTAAAGAGGATGCTAACTGAGCTCTTTGGCATTAAAAAAATAACACAGCAACGTGTTGCAGTAAGGATTACATTTTAAGCTTTAATGATTTTTTTTCTGTGTCAGGAGCAACTTGAGAAACTTCAAGTTGCTTCTGGTTTGAGAGAATTGGCTGTCTGCAAGGAAATTGCCCAGGGGATGCCAGGATGTTTTACCATCCTTGTGGGAGGCTTCTCTCATATCCCCCCATGGGGAGCTTACAGAGGGAGCTCAACTAGCTCTCCCCGGATATGAACCACTGAACTGGACATTGTTTTAATGAGTATTTATTGAATTATGTTTTATTACAGCTGTTATGATTTTATTGATGTTAAAGTTTTTATATTGTAATTGTGATTTTGGTGGCATTGAATTTTGCCTTGTAAACCGCCTCGAGTTGCTGGAAGGCTGAGAGGCGTAGTATACAAATATAGTAAATAGATAAATAGATAAATAAATAAATAGTCAGAAATCCTGGCGGCACAACAGTTTAACCCACTGTGCCACCGGGGGCTTGAGCTTTAATGAACAAATGTGTTTTTGCATGACTAATTCATGAAAGGAATTATTTTACTACTTTCACCTCCCCAGAGTCTCATGACAGAATTAGCTATTCCTTTTTAAATAAATTATAATTATACTTTTAAAATTACAACACTTTGATATACTTAATCTACCCCTACACATGCCGACTAGAATTCAGTATGTTAAAAAGCAATTTAGTGATCATAGAATCAGAGTTGGAAGAGACCTCGTGGGCCATCCAGTTCAACCCCCTGCCAAGAAGAAGGAAAATCGCATTTAAAGCACCCCTGACAGATGGCCATCCATATTTGTTTAAAAGCTTCCAAAGAAGGAGCCTCCACTACACTCCGGGGCAGAGAGTTCCACTGCTGAACAGCTCTCACAGTGAGGAAGGTCTTCCTCATGTTCAGGTGGAATCTCCTTTTCTGTAGTTTGAAGCAATTGCTCCGTGTCCTAGTCTCCAGGGAAGCAGAAAACAAGCTTGCTCCCTCCTCCCTATGACTTCTCCTCACATATTTATACATAGCCCTCATCACGTCTCCTCTCAGCCTTCTCTTCTGCAGGCTAAACATGCCCAGCTCTTGAAGGGCTTATTCTCCAGACCACTGATCATTTTAGTTGCCCTCCTCTGGATACATTCAATTTCCTTTGAATTGTGGTGCCCAGAATTGGACACAGTATTCCAGACATGGAAGAGACTTCATAGGGCTTGTTCTCCAGACCCTTGATCATTTTAGTGTTACACAGACAGTAGCAGTAAGGTTAATTAATAAATGCATATAAATCCTACAGAGATAACTCCCCCTGCTTCTGTTTTCCAATTCTTCAGTTACCCAGGCCTTTAATGCATATAAAGTTTTGAATCATTATATAAATTGGCTTAAGCATCACCATTAATTCTTGCTCCAAGTTTTTGTAACATCTCGATACTAATTGAAGGCAATGTTGACAGGTATTTGTATATTTTCATGTAATACATATCCTGCTTATTTCCAAATGGGATTGAGGTAAAATCATATCATCATCGCAAGCTACAAAAATTAAAAATTAACATTTTTTTAAATGGAATGGGGACAGCTATGTGTGGGCCAAACAGCAATACTTTAAAACAATGAAAAATGAGTAAAAAAAGATTTTAATATCACAGTAATTTGAGAAATAATGTATAACATTAAGAAAAAAAACATGATTGGTTGCCACACAAAATATGTGCTATGGTTAGCGTTATAGACAGGTGAAAACTAATATTTGTATTCATGTCATCCCCAAATAATACATTATTTGATAGCAATGTCATAGTATGACCCCTGTATCCATGGAGGATATGTTCCTGAACTTACTGTGGATATAAGAAACCATGGATAATAGTGAACCCTATTGAAATTAACAACAGCTGGATGGAATTCCTACTGAGGACACCACACACACACACACACACACACACACACACACACACACACACACACAGGGATTATGCTGTACATATAGAAAGGAATAACTTGGTTAGGTCTCCTAAAATGAACAAGATGGAGGATATTCTGAATTGGAACTTACAAGTCTCTCTCCCGAAAGAACTTCCAGCAGTTTGATAAGCATCCGTCCATCGCGAAGATCAGTGTACAAGTCTGTGATCCTACAGGACACACGGGCCAAGTGAGAGTTAACCCACTTTGTGAATGTCTTCTTCTGGACTGCCTCCCGTTCATCTGGTGGAGAAAGAGAAATCCAGCTGAGTAGGGCAATATGAAATTGTGACATGGAAAGCAAACCCAACAGGATCCCAGTAAGACAAAGACGCTGTATAAACATTGAGATCTATCCTTTTATCAAGGAATGTGATCCTATGGGTGCATCTACGCTGCAAAATTATCACAGTTTGATACCTTGGTTCCATCCAATGGAATCCTTGCAATATGGTGTAGAGCAGCGGTTCTCAACCTGTGGATCCCCAGGTGTTTTGGCCTACAACTCTCAAAAATCTAAGCTAGTTTACCAGCTGTTAGGATTTCTGGGAGTTGAAGGCTAAAACATCTGGTGACCCATAGGTTGAGAACCATTGGTGTTGAGCCAGTATAGCGTAATGAGTAGTTTGAGTATTGGACTATACATGTACAGTATCCACACTGTAGAATTAATGTGGTTTCACATCACTTTGACTGTCAATGCTACAGAATCATGGGCACTGTAGTTTTTTATAATAATAATAATAATAATAACTTTATTTATACCCTCCCACCATCTCCCAAGGGGACTCGGGGCAGCTTACATGAGGCCAAGCATGACAATGCATACACCAGTAAATCAACACAGCAGTAAAACAAAGAAAATTAAAAATAAGGTATTTTAGCCTTCTCTGCCATATGGTGTGGGTGCCCCCACCAAACTACAAATCCCAGGATTCAATAGTATTGCACCATAGCTGTTAAAGTGGAATTAATTCTATAATGCAGAGGCACACTTGGAAACCAGGGTTCAACTCATGATTGATCTTGAGCAAATCACATTCTCTTATCCTTAGAGGAAGTCAATGGCAAACTTCCTCTAATCTGACCAAGAAAAGCCCATGAGAGGATCAACTTAAGGTCACCATAAACCGGAAGTGACTTGGAGGCACACCACAAGAAACAACAGCTCTTCCTCTGAATTGCACCACTAGAGCTTTCTAAGCAATTCTTATCAAAACACCAATACCAATCCATGAAACCATGGATACTAAAGCGGGATCAACATGGTATAACTCTGCAGTGAAGATGAATCCTTGACTCTCCAGATGTTGGTGGGACACCAGGCCCAACACATTTCAGCCCATTTGAAAATGGAGTTCATTTTCCTTAAGGTTTTCTCCTTAATTCCAAAACATTTAGTAACAATGTGTTCCCCTTTTTATCTCTTCCATTTTTTCTAAAATGTCTTTTTAGATTTGTATGCTATATAGCATATCAGCGAAACAGTACTTTTGCACTGTAACATAACTCTTCAAAAAGAAGGAAATTTGATTTTTGAATCACAACATGACCATAATAAAACACACTCTGTTTCCCAAACAAAAACAACTATAGACAAACCCAAGGGTAAATCCAAGAAACTAGCACAAACAGCACTCAAAAGAATGGAAGGAATACACCTATGGTGATTTAGATCAGGCATGGGCAAACTTTGGCCCTCCAGGTGTTTTGGACTCCAACTCCCACAATTCCTAACAGCCTCAGGCCTCTTCCTTTTTCTCCTCAGCCACTTAAGCTGGAGTCCAAAATACCTTGAGGGCCAAAGTTTGCCCATGCCTGATCATGAGTCTACACTGTAGAAAATCATGCAGTTAGACACCACTTTTACGTTATGGCTCAGCACTATGGAATCATGGGAGCTTTAGTTTTACAACAGTGATTCTCAACCTTCCTAATGCCACAATTCCTTAATACATTTCCTCATGTTGTGATGACCCCCAACCGTAACATTATTTTCGTTGCTACTTCATAACTGTAATTTTGCTACTTTTATGAATCGTAATGTAGTGCAGGATGTATATTGTATATTCCAGAAACTACCTAAAGAGTTTGGTGGGCATTGACCTTGAGTTTTGGAGTTGAAGTTCACCTACATTCAGAGTACTGTGGACTCGAACAATGATGGATCTGGACCAAACTTAGCACAAATACTCAGTATGCCCAAATGTGAACACTGGTGGAGTTTGCGGAAAATAGAGCTTGACATTGGGGAGTTGTAGTTGCTGGGATTTATAGTTCACCTACAATCAAAGAGCATTCTGAACCCTGTCAAAGATAGAATTGGGCCAAACTTCCCACACAACCCCCATGACCAACAGAAAATACTGTGTTTTCTGATGATCTTTGGAGACTCCACTGACCCTCGGGATGAGAAACACTGTTTTACAAGATCTTTAGCCTTCTCTCTCAAAGAGGTCTGGTGACTCACCAAAAATACAACTTCTAGGGTTCCATAGCATTGGACCATGGCAATTAAAGTAATGTCAAACTGCATTAATTATACACTGCAGATGCATCCCTTGACAATCGGAGCAGTTGAAGGGTATGAAACAGTTGCACCTTTATTTACAACACTGAAGACAAAATTTTCACATCTTTTCTCCCCAAAAAATCCTTTGAACGTCCTATATCTCAAACTCCACTAATTTGCAACTTTCGAAAGAAAGAAACAGCTCGTGTAAATGAAGCTACGCTTGATGTGTGCAACTGCAAAGAAAGGATTTGCCCATTGTTTGCTTTGTTGATTAAGCCTTTCTGATTGAGAGATTAAGGGGTGGAGGGTGGCATCACCTCATGTATACGAAGTATTGTAAAGTAATATCAGGCCCTGAGATTAGTCTAGCTTTACAAAAATCCACAGGCCAACAGATGGTTTTTGGCTTAATCCCCAAGAATACTTTCACAACTGTTTGCGCAGCCAATTGTTGCCCAACGCAGAGTTGGTTCAGGGCTGTACATTAGATACCATTCCAGACAGACTGCTGTCTGACCATCCAATGACCTTTAGAAAAGCACATATACTTTGACTGATAAATTAGGCTGGTTGTATAGGTGGCACAATGGCTGAAAGGCAGAACACCTCACTGTATGCAGATGATCTCAGGTTTTGATCAATGGGATGTGTCCAGTTCAGAAGAAAGACCCTGAGAATAGATTATGAGACTTTGGCAAGCAAATGCCTGTGAGAGCAAACAGTAGTCCCGTTTAGTACACACACAAGTAGTAAGAACCAAACTTAACAAATTGCCCTTTTTCATAGTGCCCAAAATCATCTGCTTGAGGAAACTGCCTCCAGCTATAGCTACACTGCAGAATTATTTATTTTTTACAGTATTTATATTCTGCTCTTCTCACCCCACAGGGGACTCAGGGGGGATTACAATGTACATATACATGGCAAACATTCAATGCCATAGACACACAACATATACAGACAGACACACAGAGGCTATTTAACTTCCAACTTTTCATGTGCCACCAGGGGAGCTGTCACTTCATCGTCCATTTGTGACACTGATGGAGTACTTCCTCATTCTTTTGCAGCTTGCTGGAGTTTTTTAGGGCATTGTAAATTAGTTAAATTAGCCTCCCTGCATAAGCAGTACCTAAATTTCCTACTTGACAGATGCAACTGTCTTTCGAGCTGTAAAGGTCAACAGTGAGCTTCACAGTGGTTGGAAGCTCACTCCGAACTGGACTGGCTTCGAACTCATGACCTTTCAGTCAGTAGTGATCTTATGCAGCTGACTCCCAGCCAGCTGCACCACAGTCCCGGTGCGCAAAATTAAAGCAGTTTGACACTACTTTAAATGTCACAGCTCAGTACTGTGGATTCCTAGGAGATATAGTTTTGTAAGGCACTAGCACTCTTTGACAGAGAAAATAAAGACTTTGGCAAACTACAACTTCCATGATTCCATAGCATTTAGTCATTGAAGTTAAAGTGTTCTCAAGTTGCATTAATTCTGCAGTGTAGATGCACTCTTCGTTTGTCTATTGATAAGGTTGGCCTTGCATTTTCCTAAGAACACTAAACATTTCTCCATATCTATTATGAAGTGGAAATATTTGTGAAAGCATTTTGATGCTTGTAAGTTTGTATCACCAAGTCGCCATTCACGCACTACATTTACGGAACGTAAGTGCGTATCCATGGTTGGAAACACAGACATTTGCTATTTAAAATACACATTTACATAGCAGATAACAAGAAAGCTCCTGTCAGAAGTTTCACTTGGATGTTGGTTTGTGTCCAACTCTGGCCACTGGCCAAAAGGATATGGTTCTAATGTGTTCTGCTTTTTGTCCTGATCTTTCTCTTTTGCTGAAGGAACTGTGACCTCCAAATGCAGTACATATTTTTGAACACAAGACAGTCACCACAGAACAGTCATGGGCAAACTTGGACCCTCCAGGTGTTTTCGGACTTCAACTCCCACAATTCCGAACAACCAGTAGACAGTTAGGAATTGTGGGAGTTAAAGTCCAAAACACCTGGAGAGCCAAAGAGCAATCACTCTCCATAACTAGAGATTCACCTACACTGTCAAATCAATGTAGTTTGACAACACTTGAACTGCTGTGACTCAGTACTATGGAATCCAGGATTTGTAATTTGGTGAGGCACCAGCTGTTTCTGGTAGAGAATGCAAAATTATTTTTTTAGCAATACAAATATATGTTTCCCTGGTTTTAAAAAAAACCTCTCAATACCACAGGCTGTTTTTTCAAATGGCTTTCATTTTTTCATTCTGTTGTAATTTTGTCTCGCAATTACACTATACACCCAACTTGTATTGCAACATCAAATTTTGGTTTTATAAAAAAAGACAAAGTTAATCTGCTGGAAGTTAAATAATTAAGCCATATAACTGGAGGAAGTGGCTATTTCCTTAGAAAGCACAAGACTCATGTCAGCAGTTCAGTATTGCAAAACGAAGCCACTCGGAGGGAATCCAAAAATCTGAACTCATCTGGTGTGTGTTTGGCATAGACATATGAAAGTTGGATAGATGGGAGGGAGGGGTTATCCTCACCCACCTATGTAAACTAATACCATTTTTATTTAATCCACAGATTATTTTACCCAAAGATCAATTCTATGAGGAGTGGCTTAGGGAACGGATATACTTACTAGAGAACAGAAGATAGAGAGGTAACATGATAATCATATTTTCTGCTGCTCCAGAAACTAAAACACA